AAGACAGATCAAACTGCACGTAGAGTGCAGACATGATGACAGGCAGTCAGGTAGATACGATACTGATGTCTTGGAGAAGCTGCTCCCTTCATTTTCAAGAGAGAAGAATCTTCTACACTGAAGATGTAGGTAACAGGTTCCTCCAAAACAACTGTAATAATATACCTGACTTCATAGTGTCACATCCTACAATACTGCTATGAGAACCTCAAAGTTCACACAGTACTCACCCCTGTGTGGGGAGGCTACACTAATTGTCTCTACCTGAAGAAGTCATAGCTCAGGGGGGGACAATCTTCATACTTAGTGCCCTCAGACCTCGTACCATTACAATGACAGGTTACTGCAGTCTCTGAGCTGTAAGAAGGGGAGATGGTATCCTGCACATGCCCAGAGTTTTGTCTTTGCCAGAAATGGAGGTTTCAATCTGTGAGCAGAAAGTTCTCCACACACGTGACTGGGACTCAAACACAATACCATTTGAATGACAGCCCATCACCTCACCCTAAGACTGACAGGTCCCCAGTATCTAACTATTAAGTTTGGAACTGAGAGATGTAGTCTTGGGACCTATCATGGCAATGAAGAATTACTTGAAGAGTGAAATACACTGATCAAACATTCCACTGGGTGGTCAACAATACTATTATGCAGCCTCCAGCATCAACAATTCACCATAATGCTCTCATGTTGATGTATTACAATGTATGCCATGGTGATTACTTTGAGATGATCCTGATATCTCGCATACCTTCCAAATTGTCAACCTTTCCCCTCTGTAGCATACTGGGTGATGTCAATGTCTTTTGGAATAGAACAGAACTTCCATTTCAGACTTTTTAGGAGCAGTAGATTTGAACNCCATTTCAATTCTGGCTGTATTAACTAAAAATCCACTTTTTGTGGAAAAGTTGGTGGCCCATCAGGTGAAATCCCAGTACAGGGGAATGGCAGTGAATGGGTTAAGACCAGGATTACTCACTCAAGATCATTTTAATTGTACGACAGGAGAAAACATTGTGCAGGGTTCCAATGTATACATCCGATGTGTAGTAGCAAGCATAAAGATCCCCGAGTCTCGCTGTGATCTTCCTTAAAAAAATACAACCATCAGCCCAATAGAGCTTCTAATTCATGTGTGCTGCACAAGGAAGACCTGCACCCATGACACGGTGACTTGACTACAAACCATAAGATCCCCTCCAAAATTATACAACACACAAACACATTTCAGCCAAAAGTTATACACTGTAGAGATATATAATCTCTATAATTCATTTTCAAGCTACAAAGTGTGTGTAGCAAATTGCACAAATAAATGCAGGATGTTATAAAAATGTTGGGGGGGGGGGTGAAGAAAAGCATTCACCATACATGAACACACCTCTCTCTACATTTACCTAACAGAAGAGGAGGACCAATTACTTCTGAGATATGCTATGAAACACAGTTGCTTACACTCCCTTACCTTGGCCTTCACACATGTGCAACTTCCCTCTTCTGCTACTAAACACCACTGTGTGGGTGAAAATTCTGTGCTGTCTTTCAAGTACACATGCAAGCCACTGGAGTTAATAAGTAAATAACATCCAAAGGTGTGTTACTTTTATTACTTCAACACAGATGCTCCACAGAACATGGAACAAACAAACCCAATTACTCCATGCACCACCAGAGGTACTGAGTCCCAGCAATACAATCCTTTTAATTCCTGCATAAATGAAAATAGGGTTCACCTAGCATCATTCAGCACTTTTAGGTGTCACAGTGTCATGCTGTCGTTGCATGCATCCAGTGTAGCCCCGTGTCTTAAAATGTTACCACCCTTACACTCTGCTGTGGATGTTTTACTCATCCCCCACTCAGTATGGACCTTGGTCCTAGCAAAGTCCAGTTCCTTGCATCTGCAGAAGCACTTCAAAGAACACTTCTGACAGAAAACTGAGAGGAAAGCCAAGGTGTACCAGCAGATGTAAACGGCGAGCCCTCATTTCTTCTCCATAGGAATCAAACATCTAGCGTACCACTGGGACAAATGTCGCTCTGGTGATGATGTGAAGGCATCATTCTTGGCAACAATGTTGAAGCAATAAACTAATGAAGAGACCGATGTCTCTTCCTACCTATTCATGGAAGAACATGGTAACTCAAGTAATCAGTTACTCTCTTACAGTGAAATTGGAGCCACACTGTTCTTTGACTTTACAAGAGTTTTAAACACCTTTTCTGTTGTTTCCCAGAAGTCTGCTAAAAGTGGAACCACACCCCTTTTGCACTGGACCCTTCAAATGCAACACACTCTTGGACATTACTTACTGAACATCCTATGTACATGTCACTGCATACCTGTCTTAGGAAGCAATATTTTTTCTAGATTTATGCTAATAAGGCAGTAAATCTCTGACTGTATCCACCAAAAATGGCACCCCAAGAATATATAAATTAAGTTCACAAAACCTATCCCACTCACCATCCTCCTGCTAAGGCTCTAAACAGATGACACAATCAGGGCATGTGTTCCAGGACAAAAATCATGCAGAACTGACATGAAACATGCAACATCTAATATCTGGCAGGACAGGGCTTCAAAAACCATAAGACCAAATTTCACTAACAGAATTATAGTTTACTTCTCAAAGCAGCAAAGAACATGTGGGAGGGACTGAACGTGGTCGAGCGTCACCACTCTTGCTTGGTATTCAGAGGGGCCCAGCTTCATAACCTGGCCTGAAGACCACCTATCCTGATTGGAGAGTTTCTGTTGTCTTCCTCAGTTCCTTCATGCAAATGATGGGATAGCACCTCCTACATCTTCTGCATGCCAACCAAATTTGTTTCACAAGATGTTCAGGGCACACTCCAACATTTGCAACCAATGATTAAACCAAGAAGTGATATTATATTTAAGCATCCTGTTGCACTCTACACGATAAATGATATAAACTCCGTCCCAAGTGCAAACAATATATTATATGTCTTCGATCTTGTTCTCCTGTACACTACATGTTTCGCACACAGGAAGACTACACAGAATAACACCTATAGTGTGGAAACAAGAACTAGCCACTGCAGCACTTTAAGACATAGGGCATGTAACCCTAACAATTTTAAATTTTAAAATTTAGGGGGGGGGGGAAAATTTAAAGGATTTTAAAATTAGAACTAAAGATTTTATATTGCTACTACAGGAAAATCTAAATTAACGTGTGTAAAATAATCTATAAACCAGACAGATATCAACGGAGTAGATGTTGATAATAACAAGGAAAGGAACAATTTGTCTCATGAAATACATGAAACGCCCACCACCTTAGATAAGCATTCTTATTCATTTATTTAATGATGCTTTGAACAGTGAAATTATAGTGTCAGATGACAGCATTAGTGAATACTGAACTGGAAAGGACATGAAAGGAAGTGACTGTAGCCTATCTGAGGTACTATGACAGCATTTGACTTGAGGGACTGAGGAAAAGCAGAAATATACCCACACTGACTCAGCAGTCTGGAGACTAAGATTCAAACCAGGGGACACCCCAAGAAGGAACGCTACCCACTCTAATGCAACCCTAGGTCCAAGATGTGATATTCTCAAAATGGTCATGGACAACCAAGAATTTGTCAAGACATCTACAGGATCTTTCCTGAGTCTGAAGTCATCTACATCAGAAAAATGCATCACATGAGAGAGCATACCAAAGACAACCTAAGAGACCTCTGACTTTATCACACAGAATGTTCAGTGGTGGTAAAACACACCATGAATTAGGGACACTGTATTCACTTTGAAGACACAATGGCAGTCATTCTCAAAGCCATCAACATTGGACTACATCAAAATTCCAGCAGGTAACCTTACCTGATCAACCTACCACCAAAGGCAACAGAGAAAACATACCAAACTTTAACAGCCCACAGGCCTGTGCACATCCCAGACAATCTATACCTGATGTGGCAAAACTGTGGTAAGCCCCATGTGGATTATCTGAACTCTCGCGTGGCTCATGGCAAACAATACAGGAACTCTCTGTGCAGAAAGTATGCACCTAAACACCTGTGCCATCCATTTAATGTGTATATGTGGCTCCCAAACTTCTGAAAAGTTATCAGTACGTACAGCCCCCCCCCTTTCTACATCACATCAAATTTGATCCACGTCTCCCTCCAAATTTGCAGGGTCAATTTTCACCTACTATATGTCATACTGCTGTCTTCACTGATCGCGATTTCCACAGATTCCTTGGACATTCCAAACTCTCACCACCACCCACCTTACGTTGGACTACCTTCTTGTGCCATTCTGGCTGCCTAGCATTTACCCTCAAATAGTGGATATATCATTTAATGTTGGACCTTTAGTTCCCAAGGCAGTGACTATAAAACTACTGTCTTCATTGCTGAAGCTGGAGGCACTCTGTTCCTTCAGAACCGAATTACATGGCCTTACAACCCACAAATCCATACTCTTCAAGTAATTTAATTATCATGAGGACCAGAGAAAACAAGGGTTTCTGAAACACTTTCACTGTTACCCACATCTAAAATGCCCCAAGACTGGATCAATATTAATTCTTAATGTCTCCCTGCAAATTATTTTGCTTCAGATTTCATTTTGCAGATTTTCCATTCATGACCCTGTATATGATTAAAATGATACCAGGAGATGCGCGTTACATAAACCCAAAACGAAATAAGAGTTCATGAGTAGACAAATCAAGGACTCAAAGAACGAGGGGTTTGGTTTGATAACTGCAAAGCTTGTCAGAGCTCATGGCAATACACTTCTCCCACACTGCAAGCAAACACAGATTAATACAGCGAACATAAGTGGTCATAGGTTTTCTAGGCCCTGTGCACTGAATCAAGCAGGAGAGGAAGGGAAGGGGCTAGATATTAGTCTACTTTGCATGCGTCTCTTTCATTTTACACTCCTGTACCAAACTGTGAGGATTCTGAACATTTCCGCACCCCATCTGACAGAAAAATAAATGAAGACATACCTCCATCCCCAAATGGTAGTCCTATTTCCATCCAGTCATGCAAGCTGCAGTCTCCTAGTGTGTCCAACTGAGAAGTGCCTATTGCAAATGAATCCTGACATGTTCCTACAGTTTGTACAAACTGATCATAAAATTTTCAGAATCCTGGCTTCTTTATCCCACGACAATCCACTGTTCCAGGCAGTCCAAAATTCCATGATTCCACTATTGTTTTATCCTTTATTAAGATGCATGTGAATCCAATGGGGAAAAGTTGCCCAGAATCCTGAAATAGTTGGAATCCACTCCAAGTGGTGTAACTGCCAATCATTAGTGTCTTTTGAGATCCCACAGGCAGAACACCACGAGTCCAACAGCAAAGTTGTCCAGAATCCTGGCTAGTGCCTTCTCCCCTTGATCCAGTTTTGTGTGTTACGTTTTATCAACAATTAGTCTTATCCTCCTAACCATAATATATGTACTGATCCGACAAAAATTATCCCAATCCTGGCTCCATTTCCCTTGTAAATCCATGTGATCCACCTCCTGATGTCAAGGAAATCCATTTTGAATGCATGGAAAAGAAATCCAAAATCCAATTCATCCTCTTATCCCTTCCTTCTGATCCAACGAAGAAATCCAATAAAAATTCCAACCAAGTGATATTCAAATTATTTTAGATATTTTGGTCCCTTTTCCATCCAACGAGGCAGGAAATCCTTCGATCCAAATGAATCCAAGGACGTTCCAAATCCATGCAAAAAATTGGTTCTCCTATCATCCATCCTCCTCTTGACTCCAAGTGATTACTAAGACATGATCCTTTAATGGGAAACGTTGCCTCATCCGTTTACAATTGCTATCCACATGGTGTAAAAAAAGAGAAGAAAGAAAAAAACATTAGAACAATCTTGAATATGTGAGTACAGAGAGCAGAGGGCCAAGCAAAGCCTTCTGCTACTCCTTTACATCAACATAAAACTTACCACTGACAAAACCACACATGCCTTGCCCATTACAGATTCTTATAAAATTTGGCCCATTAATTAAACAAAGACAGAAAACTTGATGTATTCACAAGTGAGTCTCTGATGTTTTGTCTCTAGGAATGTTTACTGTGTTCATGTGTGTTTCACTTCAAGTCTGAAAACTTCTCCAGCCCCACAACTCAAGAATGCAAATTGAAGCAAATATGAACTGTGGTAGTCTTACACCAATCATCTCTATATCCACAGCTTCGTCTGTTCATTCATCTTGGCAGATGAGCAATGGGCAGCAGCAACACCTCAGTTGTAGGAGCGTGATCTGGACCTTGACCGTGAACGGGAGAAGCTGCGCCGAACTGGCGAGTAAGTGGGAGAACCACGTCGCCGTGGTGAGTAGCTGCGACTGCGAGATCTGCCTCCTCCGCTCCCTCGCCCACCACTTCCACTACCACCATAGTCCTCCTTCACCCGGATGTATGATACCTCACCCTATTTTTAAGTACAGCAGGAAAAATCGCGAGAGAATAAGAAACAAAAATAAACTAACAGAATCTGAAGGCAAATTTAATGGAAGATAAATAACAGACTAAGATGGTATGGGTATGTTCTTATGAACCAGCAAAGGTAGACTCCTAGAGAACTTGAAGATTAAACTAAACACAAAACCACCAAACAGATGGCTACGATGAGGATGGGGACAGCAGGCGAGGAAAGATGACATGTGCAAGGATGAATATGGGAAGAAACTGGGGGGAGAATCTCTGGAGAGAGACTGGCTGTTAAGACAGCCCAGAAAAAGAGAAAAATCTACAATACACACAAAAAATAAATGATTACACATGAAGACATCACCTTGTACATGCTTTCCTCAGATTTTTTTGAAACTAGGGAAAATCAATAAGTAGCAACTCCAAATTTGAATCTGCCACAGCTATAAAGCATGCAGAAAACTTGTCACAGACTGAATTCAGCGTATCATCCAGGCAGATGAAATCTTTGTAATGTCCTGAATGCAAGACTATCCCTCAGAACGAAAAATCAGCCTTGACATAACACCTACAGCATCTTTGTGCTACGATGTTTTGGCATCAGCAGGGACAAACGTTTCAAGCTGATAAACTCTGCTATAAAGAGTGCCTATCCAAAGGATATTTTGGACTACATTAGCAAACTGGAAGTATGGCATACTTCCAAGGCCTGTATTAACTTCTGGAATTAGCTTCAATATTCAATGAACTGCAAATGGTACCACCAAAGCATTTTATATTGCATACATTTGTTTGGTATGGCAAATTACGGCAATGGGACTTGAACCCTATGCAAAATATGGATTTCAGAAAAACTACAAACAGGGGACAACATTTGCTGGCCCAGTTCACCAGTCAAATAAAAAAGATCATACTCAGTGAGACGCAAGTCTCTCACGGCACAGAATACAAGTCCTGTCTTCTGGGATGTGACCAGCATTCCAGAGGAATGGGTTTTCTCTACCTTCTGACCATGAAGCTGGGGGCAGCAGATCCCTTTTGCATAATGGAATTTTCCTACCAGACTATACAGCATCACCTTAAGAAAGACAGCAACCTCAAAAGATTCCACTCCTCAGGCATTTCTCCACAAGACAAGATGTGCCTACCTCTGTTAATTGCTGAGCACTGGCTTACTGCCATGTAATATATAAGATGATATACCAGCCAACGTTACTATATAACAATCATGAAAGGTATCATTTTCTGTTCAACACCTGTGAATATATATATACACGAGGGGCAGTCGGAGAAGTTCTCGGAATGGTGGTATAGCACTCTAATGGTAGGACATACGGCAGGCAATGTTTACCTAATCACATTCAATTTGATGTCCTCCATGGGTGCGAAACGTGTCCCCTTGAGGCCAATTTTCAGAGTAGGGAACACCCAAAATTCACTTGGAGCGAGATCCAGATAATACAGTGGTTGAGTGATGACAGGAATGTTCTTCGCGGCGAAGCACTGCTGCACAACAAGCGATGTGTGGTTCGGTGCATTACTGTGATGCAGAAACCACTGTCCCTGCCACATGTTGCGCTGCTTCCTCTGAACCGCATAGTGCAACCTCTGCAAAACTTGCACACAGAAATGGCCAGTAACAGTCTGCCCAGGCGGTATGAACTCATGGTGCACCAAACCACTGATGTCAAAGAATGCAATGAGCATCACTTTGTCTTTGGATCTGATGAGGCGTGATTATTTTGGCCAAGGAGACGACGCTATGTGCCACTCCGATGATAGCATCTTTGTCTCCGGGTCATAGGCGAACACCAATGACTCATCACCAGTGACAATCTCTTTGAGAAACGTCAGGTCCTGAGTATTTTTGTCAAACAGATCGCCAGCGACCATCATGCAACATTCCATCTGATCCGTGGTCAGCCGCCTCGGAACAAACATCACACTGACGACTCTCATCTTCAAATCATCGGACAAAATGGCATGAATGGATCCGTGAGAGATACCAACTTCTTGCTGCAACTCCGTGATGGTCATTCTTAGATCACATCAAATCAGCTGTCACACTTTTCCAATCATTTCTTTGGTTCTGGATGTCGAATGTCTCCCGCTACACTGGTGATCCTCTCACGTCTCCTGCCCATTCTTACAACAGGAAAACCAGTCATAAACTGCGGATTTCTTTAGTGCAGTATCACCGTAAACTCGCTGCAGGGCTGATTGTGTCTCTGAAGCAGATTTTCCCAATTTGCACATGAACTTGGTGTTTGCACGCTGTTCGAACTGTGACATTGTGCCAAATGACAAACACTCATGTCTAATTCAAATGGAATGGTAATGACACTGCACACTGAAACCTGTGCAGACCTGTTGCGCCTGCAAGCAGACATGCTGAGCTCACCAACACAACAGTGTGTGCACTATCTTATCGTCCAATCTCCATCTACAGGGGAATTCCAGTAACTTTTCAACTGCCCTACATATATACATATATAAATATAAGATGTGTTAGAGAGAATATTAACAGATAAATTCAAAGATTTTTCAGCTAGTCAGTTTCAATTTTTCATCAGAGAAGAGCAGGCAAATGGGTTCGTTGGGCTATGACTATGCATCCTAATTACTGCATATTCTGAATTAATCTGGAAGTAAAATAATTATACAGTCCACCCATTAAAACATGATTCCTCCTTATTTAAGTATAATCTGAAAGTTGGCTAAATAATTAACAATATCCTCATATTCTGAGAGAAACAGCAGGAAGGGAACACATGAAGCAGAAAGTGGTTCCCTGCGTAAAAGTTCATTTGCTGCACTCTACACCTACCTCATGAGAGCGGAACCTAGAATCATCCAACTTCTTTACAGCATATTTCATGTCTTCATAACGCAGGAACTCCACGACACCAGTGCCGTCTTTAAAAACATCAGCAAAACAAACATCACCAGCTTCACGCATGTGGTCCTTCAAATCCTGCCAACTTCCTGAGGGTGGCAATCCTGTCAAAAAAAGATTTATCAAAATTTAACAGTGCAGGACTATACCTGCTTTGCTGCTGACATAAATCAGCAAACAAAGAACAAGGCATACACCATGAAATATAGCCCAGAGAATCACCATGTTTAACCTTTATCATCCAGGAATAAGGGACTTAAATCTCCCACTACTGCAGTGCTGGTGACATTTCAACTTGGGGCTACTGGTATTTACACTGATAATAATTACGACACCAAGACTGCAGGCCCTGCTCACTGATCATCACAGTAATGCAACACATGGATGAGAATGGTTGCCAGTTTTCAACCACCTCATCACAGAAAAACACAGCACAGAGTACAGCCTGTTTTCCAAACTACAATACACCACATTCCTGACAACAGTAATCATAAAAACATCAATCAACAAATAATACATGTACACACATACACATACATGTACATAAACAAATAAATAAAAACTGCTCCATCATGTGCCTCCGAGACCATACACCCCAGCTATTGGGTTTTGACACCTCTGACCCGGACCAACAATACTGTGCCATATTTGTTCAAAGCATGAACTGTGGAGCCAGCTGCTGCTAGTGAACAGCCCTGAAACTTGAGTCAGGCTGTAAAGGGAAGAGGAGGATGTTGGTGTGAAATGGGTGCCAGCCTGGGAGCCAGTCAGCTAAAAGTCAGAGAAGACAATAAGGATGTGCAAGGATACTGTTAAAATCTGTTACCAGGAAACAACTAGGGAAGAGTGAGATTTTGTTTGCTGTAGTTACAATGATATTTGGAGTGTTAATTCAGTGAGACTGTTACAGTTACTCGCAGCTATGATCTGTAAGTGGTCAATAAATCCAATACCCAATTCAAACAAAACCCTTACATGTGAGAATATGTTCCATATATTCAGAATGAATATAAGTATATGCTTAAACTTCAATGACACAGTTATTCAAGTACACGTATGCATGACACTCCAATCTTGCATTAAACTTTAATAAACAATGAATACAGTTTACTGTGGGGAATATTAATACTTTTGCAATTACATTTCGGTGAATGTGACAAATTACTGCATAAGAAAGATACACACATTGTACTGAGGATACATGTGATCTGATCATTGCAGAATGAGAAATGACATCAAATACACTGTCCATCAAGGACAAGAAACTCAGTGTAATAATATTACAATTCCTGAATTTGCATTTCTTCAATAAAAGTGAATGATGGCAAAGAAGAGCACAGCCTCGCCAACTGGACCAGCCACACAGACGAGTTCGTCCTGATGGACACAACTGAGTAGCAACCTTTCCTTCTTGAAACACAATAATGGAAATATGCTCACTTCCTGAAATGTGTTAAAAATATTCAAAACAATGGACATGCCCAAAATAAATCACATTAATCTTGAAATCTGACTAAAATGCCAGAAAAGTAATTTTAAGAGTACACTTTTTACTTCTTCTTTGCCATTGAAGTTGCAGTGCTGGCTAGTACCTGTAACAAGGACTCGGTACTGGGAACGTCTGGCTGGAGGTCCCCTGCCTCTGCCACCCCTGTCGCCACCTCCACCCCCACCACCACCACGGTTACTTCCTCTGAAGCCACCTGGTCCTCCTCCACGTGGAAACTCCACACGCAGCCGATAGCCATCGTAGTCATACCCATCCCGAGCATGAACAGCATCTTCTGCATCTCTACAACAGATGGCTCTCACCATGCACTGAGCAGTCTTAAAACTCAATCAATCCTAACATTACAACTCCGCTGCAAACAGTGTAAATCATAGTGCTGCTTACTTATGGTCTGTGCTCAGGGCCAGGGATTTTACTGAAACTGCTGATCTCCAGTGTGAGTCAAGGAAACGGGTTCAATTGCAGGCAGGGCCAGAGTCCTTCTCACCTCCACTAGGAACACCCAGCTTCCTATCAAATGTGTACCAGGGATGGTTTCTCTGAGGGCAAAGTGGCTAGGGTGCGAAGTGTATCATCCACTGCCACCTAACATCAAGGGTAAAGACAGATGGAGCTATACTTTCACTGCTCCATAACAGTGCTTAATTAAGCACAGATTCACCTCGACCTTTTAAATACACTAGCATGTACCAATCATGTACCCAAAACTCAAATGCATGTCCATTAATCTGTTACAACTCCGTGAAGTCAATGCAGGGCCAGAGTCTTTCTCACCTCCACTAGGAACACCCAGCTTCCTATCAAATGTGTACCAGCGATGGTTTCTCTGAGGGCAAAGTGGCTAGGGTGAGAAGTGTATCATCCACTGCCATCTAACGTCAAGGATAAAGACAGATGGAGCTATACCTTCACTGCTCCATAAGTGTGCTTAATTAAGCACAGATTCACCTCGACCTATTAACTAAACTAGCATGTACCAATCATGTACCCAAAACTCAAATGCATGTCCATTAATCCGTTACAACTCCATGAAGTCAATGAATGAGGGTGAGCTAAACTGCAACATTTAATGCTCTGACTACCAAGCCCACCTTACAAGTATCTGATAAAAATTCAAAGGCTGATAGTGGCAAGTGCCATTTCACAGATAAGAAAACAATACTTTCCTTCAAGGGAATATATGTCTAGCGTTCACTTTATGAAATTCTGAATTTGAAGGAAAGTTTCATGGTTACCAACTATAAATGTATTACAGCAAATATATGCCCACAGGAATGTGTTAGTATGCAAAATTTCTTAAATAAATTTCTTTCTATATGACTTAGGCAGCGCCATAGCTCAAGCGGTTAGTCACTGGCTTCCCACCGCGGCGGCCTGGGTTCGATCCCAGGTCTGGTCAAGTGGGATTTATGGTGAACAAAGTTGCGCTGGGGCAGATTTTCTCCGAGTACTTCGCTTTCCCTTGCCAATCTTGATTCCACCAACTGCTCCACAATCACCCTCACCTATCATCTGGGGCTGGTACAATAGGCCAGAAGTGGGAACAGTACAAGGGATTTCAGTCACACCCCACTAGCAATAAAAAAAAATTATATATGACTCATTTCTCTGAGCAACAGTTACAATTCTGATTAATTTCTTGTCGAAAATGAATACTGTATTAGCGGAAGTTGAATTATCACAGAAAAGGATATCATGCAACATGGGTCTGTGGAACTATAAAAAGTATGTTGTTTTTTTAAGAAACCTGTGTTAGGAAGAAATAAGACCTTTCATTGAATAACAACAAAATGTTCATATCTAGTCTACGTAGTTATTCCGATTTTATTGTCAATCTGGAGACCAGTGATATTATTACTTTTAGCTTCATGTTCATACGATTACATTCTACATAATTTAATGTCCTTCAGCCTTATCACAAAATCTGCATCAACACTCTTTTCACACTATGGATATACACTATAAATGTATATTACTGGTTGGTTTGGAGGAACGGGTATATTGGGAGGATATTAACTATGCATTATAAAAAATATCATACATCGATTAAAATCGGCCAAGTTCTATACGCAAATATAACCACCGCTTAACTAGATAAAGAAAAAAGCATTAACCGGTATCAAGCAATCGTTATACCTCAGCAGTTCTTATAATTCAAATATTCCATGAATAGAAAATGACGGGCTTACTTCCTATACGAAAATGCATCACTGAAACTAAATAAAGTCATTACCTTGGATCCTCGAATTCAACAAATGCAAAAGGCGGTCCTCTCCTGTTCTTCAAGTCCACAAATGTAACTTTCCCAAACTTGTAAAATAAATCTTGGATATCCTTCGTCCTGATATCGGGTGGTAGATTTCCAACATAAATTCTGCATTCATTTCGTCCGTACGACATTTCTCTTTTGTTATCAGGGTATTCCACTTTGATTAAAATACTTCTCGACCACGACCCACGCACCTCACTATGTAATACACAAGATGGCGATGATGCCAAAAGCGTTTTGTTCCCGGCGTCCAATTCTCACGCGCGTAATGAAATTGATTTCTTGGATACCAACTTCACGAAACTATTTCTTTTTGGTACAGTGGGAAAATTAAATCTTATGCTATATAAAAATTCTGTGGAGAAACTCGTACGACGTACAAAGTGAATATTCCGTGTTGTATTTAATTAACGGATAAATCCTTCTTTTCACATCTGAGGATCTGATAGATCTGATATCTATCACAGTGACCACAGTGACTGTCACAAACGTAACAAAAGGAGAAAATTTTTCGAGTCCGCTGTGTGTTATCTGCGGCACGGATCACTACGTAAACAATCTTAGGTATTCAGCGCAGAAAAGCGAATGCCTCGATTCCTCTGTGGTATTCCCGGCACGGATCACTACGTAATCATTCCCAGAGCAGCAGCGCAAACAAGGACAAAGTGAGAAACGTAGCACTGGTCTAATTTCGACTTTGTTCATTGCGGTTCATTGCGTGTGGAATAGGTCTGCCGAGATTGAGAACAAGGTTAGGGGTTGTAAGATTTGAGGCTTTCACGGCGGTGACTATGAAGAAGGCAGTCTTCTGGGATTTGGCACCGTGTATATGTGGTGTTAACCGACGTTTCGGAGGAACGTATCGCCCCCATCTTCAGGGTAGAAGAAAGTCTGCTTTACCGTTTCTCCCGGTGTTGTCGCTTGCAGAATTCTTATACTTTTTCTTCTACCCTGAAGATGGGGGCGATACGTTCCTCCGAAACGTCGGTTAACACCACATATACACGGTGCCAAATCCCAGAAGACTGCCTTCTTCAAGGTTAGGGGTTCTTTCTGCACGTTTCTGCAACAGCTTTCCTCAAAGATAAAATATTGATCTCACTCTGAATCATATGTAATACATCCGTTTTATTAGGGGACGTTCCTCTTCTCCTAAAGTACTCTGTAGTAAAGGTTGATAACTGATTGTGACAACTACAGACTGACCAATTTTTCAGAAATCGCCGAAAAAGTAGTATATAACAGACTACTCGAACATGTATTTAATAACATACTAGCGAGAGAACAACTTGGCTTTAGGAAAAATCTAGCAACAAGAAAAGCAACCTACGAACTACGTAATTAAAAAATACGTGCCCTTGATAAAGAATTACTAACAGTCTGAGTCTTCTGAGGTCTAACTAAAACGTACGTGTGCATTAATCGCGACACTTTGCTGCTCAGATTAAATTAATATGGAATAACTGGTAAAGCTAATAATTGAATAAACTCATACCTTGTGGATGTCAAAAGGTGGATATAAAAAGAAAACGTTAGTGATCCGGTAGCTTCAAAACATGGTGTAAAATAAACAAGGGGGTTTCACAAGGTGTTATACTTTGTTAAGAATAAATCTGAACCAATGCTGTTTGCAGACGTTACTAGTATAATGGTTACCAACTCTAATCCCACAGATTTTATGTGACATAATGACTGTATTCGAATACCTAAATAAATGGTTCAGAGCCGATAGTCTTTCATCAAATTTTGAAGAAAGAAACCCATCTCGTACAATTTACAATCAAAAATGGGCCACAAATTAACCTGGATGTAAGCTATGCTAACAGAACAATTTTTAAAGCACATGACACAATTCCTTGGATTACTTACAGACAGTGCACTGTCTTGGAAATTACATAGTGCGCAGGTACTACACGTGTGAAGTGAAACTTGTTATGCACTCAGATCTGTTAAACCCTACATGTCTCAGGAAGTAATGAAAGAGGTTTACTGTGCCTACTTTCGCTCTGCCATGTCTTGTGGAATAATATTCTGGAGAAACTCTACAGATAGCACTAAAATATTCAAAATGCAAAAGAGGGTAATAAATTATCACAGGAAGCGAGAATAGATACTCTTGCAGAGATTTGTTTAAAAACTGAAAAATATTACAGTTTCACTCACAGCACATACTCTCACTCCTGTTATTTGTGATAGACAACAGATGCATGTACAAATTTAAATTGACATCCGTAACATAAATACTGGGCAAAACTCAACTTCCACTAACATTCGGCAAATATATCTCTATAGTGCTCAATAGCCTCCCTCAGAGTCTCAAGAAAACAACTTGTAATATTAAGCAATTTAAAACAGAACTGAAACGTTACTTACTCGTACTTACTCACTCCTACTCCATAGGTGAATATTTCAATGTAAACAGACAGTAACTAGTACCAGTTCCAAGCTGAAGTGTATGCCCAAGCATGTTACTGCTTCATTTTGCTTATTTGCAGACTGTGCTGTATGTATCCAATTAGCATGGCAATATTAATACTGTTTTATAATCTCACTAATTTTCCAAGCCAAACTATTATTGTACAGATATTATATATCTGTACTTTACTTGTTTCATATCCCATGGCATCAACCTGTACTTGGATTTACATAATGTAAATAAATTCAAATTCATATGGTCAATATGGCATACTTATTTATGATGGGAGAATGTAAGCTAGTGTGCGAGACTTTACCATAGTCTATTAATAAATTTCATGAGTACGGCCTTCTTGGTTGTAACACCATATATACATATTGAATCCGTGTTCTGCAACGGGCTGTCTCCAAACATTACAGCCCACAAGATCATATTCTTCATATTTACCGCTATGAGAACCTCAACTGTTAAAGTGCAGTAACTTTTCTACTGCAATCAGGGGTACTGCAATAATAGATGTTAACCCCAGACTTAATTAAGCACCATGCCATGAACAAGTATTGTGGTGTTGCAGTATGTGATCAAAACCAATACTGTTTCTGATTAAAATGGCAAGACATGCAACTCTCAGATATTGGGTTCACATGTATATGTAACTCATTCCTTCTTACGCCGTGCCATCTTCTGGGATGTGACATTGCGTAGTCTGGTGGATGTTCACTAACATGTTAGAAAAATGTACTGCCTTGATATCACAGTCAAGAGTGTAAGTCACATAAGGAAACAGCAGACCCAGCAAATGGAGGCTGTACATGTCACAGCCCAGAAGGGAGTACTCTTCACAGTCACCATCATGAGAACCTTCAGCATCAGCAGCATCACTGCTGGGTATCCAGTTGCCTTCCAAAAGCTTATCCCATCTGCATACTGTTTCCCAATTTGTTGCTATTATATCAGTCAAGTTCTTGTGCATTTTCAAAACCTTCCTTTTGTATTATATTCAGTTTCAGTTTCATAATATCGGGTGTCTGGATGAAAGGTATCCAAAATAAAAGGATTATATCTTGGAAAGTAATTGTCATACATGTATCTGGTTTGTCATCAGAAAGGAAAACCCTCAAGTTTTTTTTTTTCTTTTATGTGCATGCGCCGCCACGTTTCTACCACCATGTTAGGGATCACTTGGACAGAGTGATGGCTGGGAGATGGATTGGCGGAGGTGGACCAATCACTTGGCCTCTTAGGTCGCCAGATTTAACCCCACTAGATTTTGTCTTGTGGGGTTATGTGAAGAACACTGTCTACCAGGTTAAGATCATTGACCTGCAACACCTGAAAGCCTGCATAAGAGATGCTGTGGCTATGGTAACACCAAACATGCTGGATCATCTGGCTATTTGTCATGCCACCAAGGGAGCCCACATTGAAATTTACTGAGAAAGTGATACTCAGAAAAAGACGTTGATAGTTTCCCTATGTCAGTGTCCCCATTGTGATCTACCAGTATACTGGTGAAAGAATAAGCAGTGACTTACAAAAAATAAGACAATGAAACAAACCCCTCCATGTTAAGTACAGGACCGCCATTTTATTATTCTACTCACCTACAGCATAATCTGACCTGTACTTCTACTTGTTTTATGGCATGTGATGCTGTATAATCTGTAGGAGCTTACCAACATTCCAGAGAAACTTGATGCCTCCATCTTCAAGGTTTCCTACCACAAAGGCTGCAGACTTCTGGGATGTGATGCTGTAATAGTCTGGTAGATGGTTAGTAACAAACCTGATGCCTCCATCTTCAGGGTCTTATACCTAAAGATTGCAGACTTTTCAAATATAACGCTGTTGTGTGGTAGTTACCAATGTTTTGTGGGCAGCAGGTTCCTCTGAAACACTCAAAACCCTCTACTAGACTACACAGTATCACATCCCAGAAGTCTGCAGTCCTAACATGCACCTGTGTGAGAACCACACATTTTGTCAAGTTTATCACGTGTTATATCTTCCTGCAAAAAAAAAAAGGATTTTCCTGGCTACACTGAAGTTTATCCCAGTTTGAAATCAAAAGGGTGGATGGTTGAGCTCGTTTTATTTGCTACATATCATACAGTTTCGTGTCACAGGGAGAGTTGGAGGTGTTCAACTCCAGTAGTCTTAAAAAAGGTTGTAACTTGTGTTAACACCAAGCCACAGCCAGAAGACACAATATTATGTACATATCACGTCCGGGAGACTACTCCCCATTCCCAGGGCTTCTCAATATGACTTCACTGCATAGTTGGAATTTAATAACAAATTTAATCTGCATGAAATGTTGGACATGAACTGAAATGCTTTCACTTATAGTAACTAAATGAGAAGCCCTGTCATTGCTGTGTAAGAGCCACAGAGTGAGAACCTGGGAGGCACGTCTATATACCTAGTACCAATTTACAAAATATTTATTACATCATGACTAGCAAACATTTTAAACATATTCTTTTTTTATAATTAATGCCAACTACAGCATAACTGTTTTATTCCCACATTGCGGCCATTTGGGGTGGTAAGAGAGGGGAGAAGTAGAAGCTGTCTATAGCATTGCAGGAACTGTCACAAAGCTCAGTATTTAAACACAAAAGGCAAAAGTCTTCTGGCTTGATGTTTCCAACAGTCATTAAAATTCAACTCAACATATTATAAAACCAGGAACAGAAATTAAAAATCTCACTCTTATGTTTCCAAGCCAAATGCCAATAAAACAATCTGTACTGTACAATGGTTCAAGTGGAGGCAGCGGTGACGACAGGTTTTGGACACTTCACGTCAGTTCCCTGCTGCTTGCAGCTGTCCATACTTCCACTCATCACTGACAGTGGTAAAGGTTTTGGTGGGTCGACATTCACCAGAAAGCCATTTGTACTGCCTGACCCATTAACCTGCTGGCGTTTGAGTAGTGATGATGTGTTGTGTAGCAGTGAATAGCAGGCGCTGCAGACACGGACTGGATCGTACAGCTGCTCATTTGGCAGGGGCACAGTGTTTTCTGAACAGTCAGCACAAAAGATCTTCCCGCAGTTCCTGGATCAAAAAACATGCATGTCTTTCAGCTAAATTCTTATAACCTCAAAATATATCTCCAGATTTTATTTAATCTGTTTGTGGTTAAATTTATGATGCTGTCAGTATTTCAGAATATATAGCATCAAATGGTAGCATGATTGATGAATAATGAATGGGAAATGACACAGAAGGAAGCAGTCATGGGCTAATGGAGGTACTATCCCAGCATTAGCCTGGAGGGACTGAGGAAATCAATTAAAAACCTCAGTCAGGGTAGCCAGTGTGATGGCTCCTGGTTTCAATTCAATTAAAAGATAGCTGGATTGATCAGAAAATTTTACAGTGCCAACCTCAAGCTGAACTTCCACCAAAATTTTAAAATGTTGCACTAATTTTTATTTCATAAGCTTGACAAAGCATTCATCACTATTTGAACACAAGTGTGTCTAATATTTTCAAAATTCTTCATTTTACTAAAGAATTATATTACATAAATGCTAAGTGTAAGCTGTTTATACTAAACTGAAATTCATTAAGTATGGGGAAAATAATACTCTAGCTTAGACTGGAAGCAGAAAATAAATAAATTAAATACAGGAACACTGAATCACAATTTTGCCATAGTACAAGCAATGAATGTTTTAGGTGTACATAGTGCCAAATGAACTAGAGACCGGTGCCTTGACTTTGTCCTGGCTGTTTCTAACCTCCTGAATCTTGTGTACCATCACCTGCAGTGATGCTTGCGTCTGCCAAGCCAGAACTCCGTGTCACAACCCATGCAGCGGTTCACAGCATGGTCTGGCACCCACAGGGTTGGGCCTGTCTCACGCTCTTCCACAGCTTCCCATGACACATCAGAGGGGAGAGACTCTCCAGCTGAGGGCTGCTCCCCACTGCACACTGACTCTGGCAGCGATCCCTATTACACAATTCAGAGTGGTTGCAATGACCAGCAGACATGTCATCATAGCTAAAAAATACAATGAGAATGAAAGGTTGTTCTTTGTATAAACCTGTGTTCAGATTAATGGAACGAAGAAGTATGCAGCATGCATAGGGAAAGATGAATCAAAATTCTGGATAGAAAATCTGGAAAGAAGCAACCAGACAGACTATAGCACATGTTTCTATATGATATCATAATGATGCTGCTTGAGATTATGGTAATAGACTGTGCCAACAGGGCGCTACAGGTAGAACCAATACAGTCAGTACGTGGTTCTGCTAGCAACAATCTCCCTGTTGTAAGCTGTTCCTCCAATTAAAAATTATTACTTAAGAGTAGGTTCTTAAAACCTGTACTTTATATTTTATAAATGTTATGACTGCAGGAATCATGTACCTCAGTGGGTACAGTGTGGGCTGGACAGCCTGGGTTAAATTCCAGGCAGTACAAGATTTTTCTCTCCTCCACAGCATCCAGATTGACTCCGAGGCCCACCCAGCCTCCTATCCAATAGGTACTGGAGGCTCTTTCCCCAGGAGTAAAGTAGGGGGGGGGGGCATAAATGTGACACCTCCATCCAGTGGCAAGGTCAAGAAAGGTGGAGCTATACCTGTGCTACCCCACGTCATAGTACTTAACTAAGCGGAGGGACAACTTTACGCTTTTTAGACATTATGATTGGACTGTAAGTGTGCAAAGTGAACCCCTACTGTAAATATACTAAGGCAGACCTTGGAGAAATGGGTTATGTTCATGCATAAATGTATATAGGTGAAAGGTAAAGTCCCCGTGTTTAACCCTACAAGTGACAGATTCCATATCTGACAGCATGCGACATCTGCCGACATTTTATCTGAAATACACTTAAATATATGGAAGAACTCTAAATTTGAGGTTCTTGGAGATGTTCGATATCCACAAAAAAGAGCAGCTTTGACAACCCAAAATGGTTGCTTGGCATTGCAGGAACTGAAGACAGAATATTAATGAAACATCACACCATTACAATATGGCACCAGACTGAGGTGAATGATCAACTTCACACTCCATCAGCTTTACAGATGAGGAAAGAACCTTTGGTACTAAGCGAATAGGAGGATGAGCGGCCTCCCAAGTCAGTCTGGATGTGGTGGTGAAAAGATAAATCTTTGTTCCCGCCAACAACAGCCTATGATTCTCCAGTCATTCTGCCCATAGCCTAGTCACTATACTGACAGCTATGGAAGAGGCCTAAGATAAGGTCAACTGGTGGACTTTCCTGATAATGGTGTTAATCCCTGAGGTTTGATAATAATCAAATTTCATTTGAATAGGTGAATAAATATGAACTTGGTGACACTTATCTGTCTTCTGTACCCAACATGTCAGCGAGACTGCTTGTCACAGTAGGCTCTGTAGCACAGTCAGAGACTGAAGCCATCAATCATTAAACATAAGCCTAAGCTTCACAGACAGTTGTCTGGATAGGACTATCGCACAGCTTGGAGAAGAATGTGGTCCAACGCTACTTCATCCACTATGAATCTCACATGAAGTTACCTGGGATTGAATCCAAGGCTTTGAGGTGAGACACCAGCACCTAACCACCTGAGCTATGGCAAGGCCCTAAAATGACATCAGTACAAACTGAATATGACAAAACTAAACGTAACATGAAAGAAATGCTTGAAGAAGAAGTTGTAATGTCACTTACAACATCATCAGGTCTCTCAGCATTTGTGTGGTTGCAATGGTGGCACACCTGCTGAATCAGTGCCAGTCTTGTTGTGTACAGCTCCCTCTGCAGAGCGTCCTCTTTGGCCTGCAACATGTAATGACGATATAAGCTTGTCCCTGTTCACTCCAGCCTTACAAATATTTACAAGTTCACAAAGACAGACAAACCAGATGCTCCTCAACCTGACCAAACTTTTGAACATAAGCCCTACTGTGGGAGATTTAAAATCTCCTATTCCCGGATGATGAAGTTTTGCCTACAGATTAAAATATCGTTGTTAGCCTTGTAGTGCTGGGCGATCCAGAACATATATTCCTGGATAATAAATGTTAAACAAGAGTAGACAGGTGTACTCCAATGAGTATATGTTTTCCAAATGCATTGACTGATTCTTTCATCTAGGACACTGACCTTTACATTAATTTATTGCATACATCAGTATTCTGACACAAGCGCTCAACCTACTACGGATACCACGCTGCAGAATGTCCAAATCTACCACCCGAGAGGTTCAATGATCAGTAGCATACTCAAAAAATCTCACTGTACATGTCAGTGCACCTCATTCTTCATAACATTTTTGTTCCAACACAAACTTACAGAAGCTTGTATTGAAATATAAGCTTATTATACAGGGTCTTTTTTAGTACCTTGACGAGTTCATGGCAAGTGGTGCACTGCTTGCTGTCAGGTGCATACAAATTTTGCCGATGAATCAGCCGATAACATTTGGAATGAAGGGAACTAATTAACTTGCACACTACTTGATGGTATTATGCTTCATTGCTAGCAGTGTAGTTCATGTGTGAGAGTTTATGATTTGTCAGCAGTAGGCAACAGTTATCAGCTCCATTAACTATCTGTCCTCATTTACAATTTGTGGGTGGCGTGTTCCGTCATGGTGTGGTATAGCTTAGAGTAACATGTGTTTTGTATGACACCTACATGAAATATGGATCTGCTGGAAGTGTCAAAGAAAATTTTGACTTAAATTTTGTGCCGAAAGAATTCCCAGAAGACAAACAATTCACAATTTGCTAAAAAACTTAGAACAATGGGACTCTTAACAGAAAAGAAACAAAATCATAAGCATCAAGTGCTTACTTAGGAGAAGTTAGATAACAGAGGACAGGCTTGAATGTACACAATTACTGACACTTCTAACTCAAGAGACTGGAGGGTCAAAGTCTAGTGCAGGAATGGCAACACAATTGCTGAAGCCATCCAGTGAAAGTTGGTGTTTGGTGTGCTGTAAGTGCAAGGATTGTTGTACCTGTGTTTTTTAATGAAACAATTGTGAAAAATATCTATGTGTAGGGAGGACAACATTTTCAACACCTTCTGTGATCTGTGAATTGTAATTACTTCATTCCAAACATTACCGGTCGTCAAGCATGCTGATTCATTGGCAAAATTTGCATGCATCTTGCAGCAAGTAGTGCACCGGTCACCGTGAACTCAAGTTACTAAAAAAATACTTTATATATGTATATGGAATGAACATACAGTGGAACCAGCATTTAACATTCCTTAACTTAAGATTTCACTTCATTTAATATTCAATTTCAACAATCCCAAGACAATAATCTCCATGTTATGTTCCCTCCATTAAAATTTTCTTCAGTTCAGCATTCAAATTCACTGTTGTCCAAAGAAACATGAAGTGAGGGTTTGACTATGGGTGACAGTTTAAACTGAAACACAGGCTGCATAAAACTCCTGACATTTGGAAATGCTATGTGATCCATACTGACATAGCAGGTAAAGTAGACGTGCTCACATGAGCACCACATCACAAAGCTATACGGGAAAGCACAGCTGTAGCTCCATTTAACCTCTGCACTAGATGTGAGTGAGTGGCCAGATTCATGCCCTGGCTGCTTTACCCCCAGGGAGAAAGCCCCTGGTACCTGTTGTACAGGAGGCTGAGTGGGTCCCACAGCTGGTCTGGATGTTATGGAGAAGACAAAAATCTCTTCACAGTGCTGGGAATCAAACCTTGACTCCTTGGTTGTCAAGCCCATAGCCTGACAGCTATCCTTGCTCCCTTGACACAAGCAGTATTGCATTTTATAAACAATTTATCTTCAGTAATTCAGGACTATGATGCCACTACAAAGGAATGTGATGTAGCTGAGTATTTTCTTTACCGAAGGTTTCTTCAATGACACTCTCAGTAACTAGACTACGTACCAGTCGTATATGATACAATGACAGTGAGTAATAAACTGGGAAGGATGTGGTCATGACCTAATTTAAGTATTATCCCTACATTTGTCTGGAGGAACTACTGAAAATCATGAAAAACTTCAGTCAGGATAGCTGGAGTCCCAACCAAGATCTGAACTGGGTATCTTCTAAATACAAGTCAGAAGTGTTATACCTTGAGCAAACTTGCTCAGTGTAAGCTCTGCTCTTACTCATAAACATGCAAGGCTGCACTCACCTTGTGTTCTGTGATGATCTGCTGGAGACGCAACTGAACATCACTGTGTAATGGTGCTAATCCATCAAGGTCATCTGGGCGGTAACTGGTAGGACCAGAGGAGTGGTGTCGTGGTGCCCTCTCATCACTGGGTGTTGTAGGATATCCAGAGCTGGGGGTTCGGGAATACAGAGGTGGGGTGGAGTAGCGGGATGTCTTGCCACTAGTGGAACTACTGGCACTCCCATCAGCACGACTAACATTGTCTGCCAAGAACCGTCGGCTACTGGCACAAACCCTGCACATGTCGCCACCTGGGGACTCTACTGTTGGGCTTCCTACAACCCGACTAGCACCCAGGACTGACTGTACAACACCGTTCATTTCATCAGTTGACATGACACTATCCACTGCTTTAACAACTCCATTGCATCCGTTTGCATCACCTGCCACCAAAGTGTCAGTAGAACTGTCCACAGACTGAGGCACTGGTGTCATGTTGTCAATCGACATCACAGCAGCACAGATTGTTGTCTCTGATCTAGATTCAGTTGTTGTGTCCTCATTGTCATCATCTTCTGAATCATCAGCAAGCCGTGGATCGCCGAAACCCTCATCAGACAAACTATGGCAGTTCGGAACTGAGGAAAAGGCTTCTTCTACATGCTGTGAATTGATCTCCATGGGAGATGGTTCTACTGCAGGAATAAATCGGTCTGGTGAACCTTCGAACGACTCCTCATCATCGTGTGTGGATAATTTGAGACCATCGAATTTGCTGTAAGTGAAACAGAAGCCCATCTCACACCTCAAATAAGGTAAGATATACATCAGAAAGCTATCTTCTATTGCAGTTAGAAAGACAGAGGGAATACATACGTATCTAGAGCAATACTTGGATCACTGGAACGCCGGTGCATCTGAGTGGCATGATCAGCTGCAGCCAACAGGTCATCATATGAACGAGTCTTGCCAACTGGAGCAGGAGATGTAATGGGTCCAGTGTGGTGTGCAGCGCTGCGGTCTCCATTCAGAGCAGCACCTGAACCCTGCTGCGTTGACGCACCCACACTGGGGGCCACAGACTGGTGGCTGGTCTCCACTGCACCAAGGTACACCTCGCTCCATAGCACCAGGTCCCGCACATTGCAAGATGGCCACAACACCTGCACACAAGTTGATATTGTTGTTTATAACTTAAACCAATGGAATACTCACTGAAAGTGCAGTGAGAAAATTTGACAGTTCCCATTTGTAGCTATAGTTTGCACGGATAAACCTTCCGATGATACACTCTTACACATTAAAGTCACTGATGGACACTCTGCAATCACTGTTTTACTAAATATGGACACTATTAACTTCAAAAGCTCTGGAAAAACAGCTTGATAGAATAAAAATAATAATGATGATGCTCATATGACAACAGTAGCAACAACACCAACACCATTTTTAGGATGAGTGTAACTTCCTGCCCATCAGGAGGATGGCCATGTTACAAACAGCACTGCTCCTAGTCAGTTCTATGGAGTCTGAAGACAGAAAAATCGGTGGCAGCCCAATTTATGGTACTATCTTGGCATTTCTGTGAAATGAGAGAAAAACAACATTCCTATGTTTGGAAGTTTGTGCCCTTGCCAATTCAAACTGGAAGTCAGAAATATTAACACTTGAACCAACTTGCTCAGTCGACAACCACCGCCACAGTTATGCAGTATCAGAAAAGTCATACTTATGGCAGCTGTAATGGCTGTTACAATTTAAAGCAATGAGGTCTGTATTTTTCGTAATTTCTTAGTGCAACAGCAGTTCCTTGGAAGAAGCACTACCATCAACGCAGTGGGTGAGAGGGAGTGGTATGGAAGTAATGTCTGACTGCAAACAAACGCTGGTAACCAATCCTACAACTCACCGGATCTCGAGATGTACAGTACAGGTGATTCCTGAAGTTTGGAGCCTTAAGGAACTTCCACACTGAGAATGTCCTCTCAGCCACTTTTAGACTGATGCGTTCTTGTGTGGTGTTGCACAGGAACGTTCCAAACAGGTTTGAGTATGTGTGTTGTGCCAACTTCACCTGTGGACCATACACAGTTCACAGAATGTGTATGCATCATAAGGAATACTGAACACAGGGACCACTTCAAAGGCCCAAAACACAGTCTAAAGGTTCCCACTTACCAGGTATGCCTGTGAGAACTCGAAACTGCAGGGGAACTGATGCAGCAGTTGATGCACACAGTCCAACCATTGGAGGAACACAGGACATCGCTCACTGGGGTCAACCTTTCCCACTGTGTGCCCACACCGGTCAGCAAACTTGTGTCCAAAGTCTAGCCACTCGCGTTCGCATAGCACTTGGAAACCCTACCAAAAAAGAAAAAAGAAAACAAAAAAGAGGGTGTCACTCTGTGTTACCAAATTACAGGATGGATCCAAGAGATGTAATAAGTCTCTTAAAGATCTAAAAGTCACATTTTTTGTCATGGTAACTGCTACAGAGTAGAGCAGTTCCTCCTACAGGACATGTGACTTGCTATGACAGTGGTTACCAGTGCCTCCTATATATGGTGCAGTACATTCCTCCAGAAGTCCATAAACTTCTAATGTAGCATCACATACCAGAAGACCAATATTTTTCAGTACTTACATCAATTGTACGGTAATAAGGGTCCAGCAGGAGTTCTGCAAGGGCCACAATCTGAGGTGTGCGGTCCCAGCCATCAGAACAATGTACAAGAACCGGTCGCTCCTCATGCTCTACTGCAGACACTACCGTTACAGCTGCTCGCAGTAAGCCAGACATGTGTTGAAGCCAGTGGGTTCCTTCCAGCTGACTGAACCATCTGTTAACAGAAACACTACTGTACACCCCACAATATAGCAAACAGCAGCAATGTCAATGTCCAAACTTACTGTGACATGTTAGTGACTAGATACACCATCTGGATCGGTAATTGGATTTAGTGAACACTAATAATTTGTAACTACAAGTAATCATAACACTATCACTAATCTACACACTTAATAAATCTCTGCCTGTTATGTTGCTTGGTTACAGTCTTCCGTGGATGTTCCTAGGTTATGGCTGCTAACCATGGAGGTTCTTTTGCTTTGGTGATCATTTCCTCACTCGATGGCAGCTGGCTTGCAACCTACCCCCAACTAATACTTTACACTTATACTGTCACCTTCTGGATTATGATGTCCTGTGGTATTATAGTGGCCACCATGTTTAGTGGAACACGTTGGCTTCATCTAACCCGGAGGCAAACAGTTCATCCAAAACATTGGTAACCACCTACAAGAGCTACAACCCCTGGCACTAGACTGCTCTCACCTCTATCTAGTGGCAAGGATAAGTGATCCTCTTTCTTAAACACATTCATGGCTTAGGTAGCAGCAACTTCACTTCACTTTCACTACTCAGTTTCATCAAAATCCATTCATCCAGAATAAACTTATTTAAAATAGAGTGCTCCTGCTAAGTATTCAGGGATTGCAATACTGGTTAGCCTGACTGAGGAAGTTTGTGGTTTCTGTCAATCCCTCCAGGAAAACGCCAGGACAGGCATTAAATTGTGGCATGGCTGCAGCCTGTCACATGCTTTCCAATTCATTATACACTAATCACCATACCATCTGACACTGCACAGCCTTTGATACTGACCACATCATTAAATAAGCTGAAATGGAGCGACAAACAGACTTGCTTGTAAAGAAGGAACAAGTACTTACTTTGACAGCTCGGCAGGGGAGGAACATAGCTGCCGCACAGACTGGAAACTGCTGCGGATCGAGTGGATATTTGCCAGGTTCATGAACTGGATCTCACAGCTTGGATAGTATTCAGGGCACTCGCAGCCCCCACCACGGGCACGGTTTGCCACAGCCGTTGCATACGAACGTGCGTCCATGATCAGCACCTTCTATAACAACCGGAGCTGTCAAAACCATGTAAACTGGAACACTGGAGACCTTATGAACATGAACCTGCTTGTTATTCTGGTGCAGTGTGTTCACTGCATGAGTCATCATTCCAAGCAACCAACACACTGACGGACAGTACTCCCCTGAGAGCAGAATATACTGCCAGTTCTTCACGAAGAGAGAGCATTCAGTTAAAAGCTCATAAGTTTCCATAGTTGTGATCCTCTGGACTGTGACACCGTGTAGTTTGGTAGGTGGGTACCAATATTCCAGAGAACATACTGCTTCCATTTTCATGGCTGGCGTGTGCACAGTGAGGACACTGTTTTACTATAATCTTGCCACAGGCCCAGATTTCTCCAGTAGAGCAACTCTCTCAGCCTACACACTTCAACCATGAAGACCCACCTACCAGACTGCACGGTGTCACAATCCAGAAGACCACAATCTAAGACCGTTCAGTCATTTAATCTTTTATTCTGCTGGGTACAAGAGGTTTCAGATCTCCCACCCCTACACATCTGGTGTCCATATTATAGCTCTCGGGTAATGTTATGGGTACAAGGGGTTTCATATCTCCCACTTCTACACGTCTGGTGGCCGTATTATAGCTCTCGGGTAATGTTATGGGTACAAGGAGTTTCAGATCTCCCACTCCTACACGTCTGGTGGCCGTATTATAGCTCTCGGGTAATGTTATGGGTACAAGGGGTTTCAGATCTCCCACTCCTACATGTCTGGTGTCCATATTATAGCACTCGGGTAATGGTATGGGTACACAAAAATGCAATGCTCAGCCAGCTGGTCTGTGGAGTGCACCATCAAACAGATTCAATCTACAGTGGATAAATGTTATCAATTTATAGAGTCTGTGACATACAAATGGAAGAACTTCAACTCTTTCAGACTTACAATGATTAGTTAATTATGATTTATATCCTGACACTGTCAGTAGATCGCAATGTACAGCATCAAATGACTGAATGATAATGAAAGGATACAGAAGGAAGGGGTCATGGCCAGTTTAAAAAAATACTATCCTGGCATCTGGATGGATAAACTGAGGAAGACCATGAGTAACATCAGTCATAACAGTGTCCTGGCCAACTCCAGAATACAAGTTAAAAGTGCTGATGTTTGAGCTAACTTGCTTGGTTTCCTGCTATATACACATTCTCTGATACCTCTCAGAGTTTAGCACTGAAAGCATTAAGAAAGTCAGCTGTCATTAGTACCTCCTGAAATATGACCTACCAACCTTGCCACTGCTTCCATCACCATCACCTTCAGTCGTCCTAGCAGTCGGTGTGCAAGTACCAACTCGGTCCATCATGGTGCAGTGCCCACGATCATAGGCACAGGCATCAGCAATGGCCTTCAGCAAGTTTTCGTCCGCTGAGGACCTCCAGCCCAGCCACCCAACCTCTGGTTGGCTGCAGCGAGCAATCACAGCCCCATTGCCAGTATGTCTGCACAGAGCAATGTCTGCCCTGTATTTCACATTATCAGAATGACACATTACAGAGAACCCACCTCTGACAATGGCACCTGACAACACTTCCCAGCATTCAATTAGGAAGAGTTCATGAGATCTGAGGTTCACACAGATTGCTGTCCTCTGGGATGTGACACTGTGTAGTCTGATAGATGTTACCAATGTTTTAGAGGAACCTGCTTTCACTTAGCTACATTTCAAGATTCTCACAGTAAATGTGACAGCACAGCAATGAATGTTTATGAATAATTTAAGGTACAATACCAGCACTTGCATGAGGGACTGACAGAAACCAGGAAAAATCTGTCAGCATACTCAATGATCAAGTTATGATTTGAACTAGACACATTCCAAATACAAGTCAGAAGTACTGCCACTCCAGCCAACTTGTGTTCTGAAACGTGCTGTCTCCATTTTCAGGGTGGATGACTGGAAATGGAAATAACAGGTTTCTCTAAACCAAATGAGCACTTGCTCTTATCACCGCCCCCATGTAACTTTCTTACGTATTAAAATTTACACTTCAAATGCATTTGTCCTCAAAAACCATGTGTTTTGGCCTAATCAGCTATCATCAGGTGTATAAGTTGCAGAAGAAACTGCTGCCCCATTGTCAGGCTGCCACACTTTGCATTTGAAAGGAGTAAAATGCTTATAAAATATTTTTCATAGAATACTTTTTATGGAATATTTTATTATAAAATTATTTTGTATGCACGTATTGTGGGTCTCGTGTATATTCTGTTGGTGTGTGGGTTTTCCTTTGGTGCTGTGTGTAGCTGATTTTGAACATGAAGAAATGAATGCTATTGAAGTGTGAACTTTAATGAATTTATGAAGTTCACAGGAGCAGTGAGAAGAGCGAGAACTAATTTAGAATACGCAGAGCAACAGGATGTGGCAGTATAACACAGTGCCATATCTCAGTAGAGAGTAATCTTCAGAAGAGATTTTATTTTCTAAGAAACTGAGCATAAAAAATAAATGTAATTTGGGTTATGACAGATCTGCACTTGTGTGAGAAGTTTAGTGTTAGCTGTGGGACCCATACTGAACGGATCTGAAGTCATGGCACCATGTTACCATCCTGCAACTACAAATATCTCTCCAGAAATGGATGTTATGTTCAAAGTGACAGCAGGATAGAAGAAGATTTCTGCTGCAGAGAATAAAACGCTGAGGAGGACATTCATAGTTGACAGATATAATGTGTGTGCACACACGCATGCATACATATTTGGGTGTGCTTGTGTGTAATTAAAGGCATGCTGTTGATCATCGATACGTGTCCCTTTAAAAGACCAGCTAAGAGTTCATAAAACGACAGCAGTAAAATAAAGACAGTGAGCTCCCAGAGTCTGGCAGATTAGCAGTGAGACCAGAGGAGTCTTCTGCCCCCACACTCGGGGCAGTCTCCCATCCCAAAGATGGAAGCAGCAGGCAACCCTTAAATGCCAGGAGTACTAAAACACAGTGCCACACCTCAGAAAACCATTATCAAAATATTCAACTCATGTAGAAGGACAAATTCCATATATAAAAAGAGAATATGTAAATGGATCACAGAGTAAAATCCAGGGAAATAAATGCTTATATACACAGAAATAAAATTCAAAAAGTGATAAGAATACCACGCTGTAACCAGGCCTGTCATATTGAGGGCCTAGGAAATCATGCATTAACAGAAAAAATTCACTCACTCGCTCTTGGAGCTGAGCCCTTCTTGAGAGCTGCCAACTGTGCAACTATTCAAGAATTTCCTAGCATTTTATGTTCCCAAGAGCCCTCCACTGAGCCAGATCGATCCAGTCACACTATCCCATCCTTAATGAAAAACTTCAAAATTTGTCATCTTCGCTTAATGTAATAAATTTAAAATGGTCACATGAACAGAGGCATACAGGACAAAGAGGGTGGAAAAAAAGTTGAACGAAACATCTCAAGGGAAGACACCAGTTGGTGAACATGGCAAAGAGGGACAAACCTTTGCTGTCCAGGAATAGAGGCATTAAATTTCCTGCCACTGCATGGGTGGTGCCCATATCTGAACCTGGGATAAGAGTCAGTCTAGGAATAGGGAATTTTAAACCTCCCATTTCTATTATGCCTGAGAGTCATATTTTAACTCAGTGATAACAGTATTAGTTTAGTATAAAAAGAAGTGATACTTGCCCAGTTGAAAAGTGCAATGTTCTGACTCTAATACAGCCAATAAAGGTTGAAAAGGACTCTAAAAAATAGGCTCTGAAGGTGAAAAGAATGAAGCAACTCAGGATAGTGCCCAATGGTAGGCTTCTGTGAACACTGATAAAATTTTTGTCTGGCTGAACAACTATGAGAAAGAGCTTGAACTGGGTGGTTCAGTAACCTTAAAACAGAACACAAACTTACCTCCAAACAACGGCAGGAACTCGCTGGGCACTCCTATAACGAGCAGCAGTCTCTAGGGTCTCATCCGTGATGCACGCTGGGACAAGCAACAGCCGAGGATACGATGAACACAGTCGATAGTCTATGTTGGCCTGTACGTGAAATTGAGACAGTTAACATTCCTCAAATAACTTCACTGTTTCTCAATGTTACAGCAAGTCCCTTTCAATACAAGAGAGAAAAAATATGAGGAACAGTGTAATCTTTTCACTTTATGACTGCTGTCTCTGCTGACATGAGGGCATACTGTAGCTCAAGGTCAGATGACAGCATACTACAAATGTGGGTCAGCCATAGTCTGCATTGGATCTGAAGTTCTCATGACAATGACAATGGGGGTGATGCCATACGAGCAGACATTTACCACTGTATTGGAGGTAGGTATGCACTGCCTCCATCATGAAGATTGCAGAGTAAGAAGCCAGGTTACAAGTAACATTAACTGCACTCTCCAGGTGCCTCGGAATTCCATGTCACTTTGAGAGAGTAATATGCATCTAATGAGATCAATTTTAAAGGACTGTGATGATGGTTTCTGGAATTAACCTATCTTCGAGTATTCCAAAAGAACATGTTTCAGAAACTGGATGTGATTCCATCCTCAGATGAAAGGATGGGGAAGTACCTACTTAGTTGGGGTTAATCTCAAGTGATACTACAATGCCAGTGGTACTGCTCCACTGATTTAGACTAGTTCTTTCTAATGGACACAACTGAGTACATCCCTCCCCCTTCATTCTTTCACTTGAACAGATCCAGTTTCTTGGATGTTGTGCTATTTCTGAATACTAGATGATTGACAAAGCCCAGAAACTCAGTACTCCTAAAGCTAAAGAGATGGTCATGGTGGCACCAGACTTTAGTTACATGAAGATTGGTGGAGACAACATGCATTATCTTTTTTTTTACATGTTAAATCACTTGGCATGCTGTATGTTCTGGTACAAGATTTCAGTGAAACAAGGATTAATGGAAGACCACGGTCTTCTGAGATGTGACACCATGTAGTTCAACAGATCGGTACTGATGTCGGGGAAACCTGCTGTTCCATCTATGGGCTTGAAGGGTAAGCTGTTCAGGGTAAAATGTTATGGCTACAGGGGGCTGGACTTGGGGACTTTTTGTGAATCAGCAGAAACCAGTTATCGTAATAAGGGCTGTTTGTAGAGGTACATGCCAAGGGGGAAACATTTTAGGAAGTACAGAAAAAAGGAAAGTGGGTAACATAGAAAGAGATGGATAAAATAAAAAAATAATAAATGAAAGAGATAGAAAGGACTGGGGAAGGAGAGGTTATAGTCCTGGTCCCAGCCATCTGTTTCATGTTCATATCATTTTTCCCCACTTAGCTACTCTTCTAGTCTGAATATGGGGGCAGAAGATTCCTCTGAAATGTCAGTACCTGGGAATCATGCCCAAAATGGCCATAATCTTGATGCTCACTGTTGTGAGAACCTCAAATCTCAAAGATAGGGAAGCTTCAAAATATGCTGACAACTGTTTTGGTAGAACACTGAATTTTGCCTAGCATTAAAATGGCTGCCACCTGCAGCACTGAAAATAGAATATTGTAATTAGGATAAACAATTATGAAAAATTTACTGGGACCAAAGATTTTGAAAACTGTCTTCATAATTTTACAATACTGCATTCTGCCTGTGGAATGCTTCTGAAATGAATACCATATGCTATGACATGAGCTTAGTGTGTCTAAATGTAGTCAACTGAATTACAAGTTTCAGCCACTGCTCGCAGTTGAGGGGGGATCCAACCTGAGTCATTTCTCAAACTGTGGATCATTATCGCCCAGTCCATCTTCGCCTACTCTGAGAGAAGTTACTGAGTTCTCAAGAATGATGTAACATATAGTTAGTAACTAACAGAAGTGAGTACCGGGAATCTTACTGGAGTTAAAGGGCAGCAGGTATGTAAGGCTGACAACCTCAATGCCATCTGTGATTGCAATGTCCAGAAAATGTGAAAACCTTGATGTCTCACAACCCTGTGGGCTTCCACAGGCTGTTACGGGGACAGCTTTACCTTTTTCTAGCTCATTCAAACACCAAAAACATTAAGTGTGCTGCATTTTTCCTCATTAATCCTAGTAACATCAGTAGCTTTCATCATGGGAAGTAATAAAAATCTGCATATTTTTTGGGGGACAGTGTATCACAAAGTTGGAGAACCCCTTGACTGTTTTGTACTTTCCGTATAATTCTGCGCGTACATGCATGTGATGGTGGTTATTTAGAACCAAAACATGCAGCAGTGGCTGCAGCTCTAGACGCAGGATGCTGCACTCTCTACAGTCTTACACAGCACTTAATGCCATGGCACACCTGGAGAAGCAGTGCTCCCAAGGTGGACCGAAGCAACTGTTTCTTCACACATCAATAACATACATTAAGTCGACAGTTATAACACTGAGAAGCCTGGGCACTCATTGAACACACCCACCTGTGAAATGCGCCAGGCACCATGCACATCGAACCTGAGGCGTTCCACCTCTGAATGGAAAGATGGCACGCCCGTCACAGCATCTCTGCTGCCCCCAAGACGGGCAGTGACTTCTTCACCACCCTCCTCACTTGACCAAGCCATGAATGCAAAGGCAAACAAGTCCTCAATGTTGGAAGGAGATATTGTTGCCTTGTGAAGTCGTCGGAACCAATCAAGACAGTGCTCATTTGTGGTGAATGTACATCTGTAACGCAATATACAGAGTATTTTACTGGCATCTGTTTACATGATGAATTGTGAAATAAATGATATTGAGAAGCACGAAAGGATTACTGAATATAATTCTCTTAACTGCTACTAATGTCAATTTGTACACTACTGTACATGCACACTTTTCATTTTAATAAGAATGTATTCCATAATGTAGTATACACGATTACCAATGGCATTTTTTTAAAGTTTATTATGCTTACTTAAAAATGTGTACAATGAAATTCAAATTGGTGAAAGTCTTATGGGATACATGGGGAAATCCAATTATGGCCTAATTTGAAGTAGTCTTTATTACAGCTAAATATGGCTGAAAATCAGGATTACTGAAAAATTATTAGTGGAAACCTCACATTTAAAAAAAGTCTATGTAATAAACATGCAAAAAGTCCATTTATAGTCTTATGTAAAATAGGAATCATTATGGATCAATATGGCTGAAAATTTAAAATGACCAACAATTTTTACTGAAGATCTCCCACATAAAGTTTTAAGAAACCCTATCCAGTAATTTAAGCTCTGAAACTGCGCTACATGCGGATGAACACAGATGCATGACCTCCGTACAGGGCATTTTTACTTTGTAAAGAATGACTAAAGAGTAAATAATCATTACAGCAAAAAATAAATAAATAAATAAATAAAAAAAAAATTGGTCTAGTACAGAAAATTATCCTTTTCATTTGAATAAGCAGTACTTCACTGACTACAAATGAAAATAAAATGTTCAGTCATTCCAAACATCCTACAGAATCTTCTAGGGGGATCTGCCTAACTCATTTAGAAACCTCAGTCATTGTGATGCCCTATCCTTAATGCAGAAAAAGATGACACGCCATCAGAGTCAAACCAAGCAGTGCTCTCACCCACTCCGGTCTCGTGCCAGACACTGATCGCAGAGGTCTGCAATATGTTGGTTTTTAATTCAACATTAACACAGCTGATCACTGAAGAAGATATTGGTGCATTCACTCACCATAAAAGCTTCTGCCTCCTATTTACAATAACAACACAGACCAGATGCCTTTGTTATATTTGTTGCACTTTCTAACCTGAGTAAGCGTCCATCCTTGCAGCCCACATGTAGACAGAAGATGTCCTTAATTTCTATGACTTCTATCAACCCCAGGGGTATACTGTAATATGTATCTTTAAGCAGAAGATGCAGCCGATAGTTGGAAAGGGCTAACATGCCATCAGCAGTAGGTCCAAGGAACTCAACACCTTCACCACACACAGGTACAAATGGCACTGACAAATGGGCATCATCAGCCTGAAGGGTTCGTTTTGGGTATAGTTCACATGCCCGAACATGACAGATTGACTGCAGGCTAGACGGCTGCTCTGTACCACCATCCATATTGGCTGCCTGTAAATGATTAATCTAGTTTCAGGCATACCATCATTCTCTCTTCTTAAGCTACTGCCCCTTTGATAGCTTACTTTGTTTCATTCTTCATTGAGTAACAGTGAACCTCAGGCCACGCCATAGCTGAAGCGGTTAGTAGCTGACTTCCCACCACAGTGGCCCAGGTTCGATCCCGGGTCTGGTCAAGCGGCATTTGTGGTGGACAAAGTGGCGCTGGGACAGGTTTTCTCAGAGTACTTTGGTTTCCCCTGTCAATATTCATTCCACCAATTGGTCCACAATCACCCTCACCTATCACCTGGGGCTGGTACAATAGGTCAGAAGTGGCTGCAGTACAAGGGACTTAGTCCCACTTCAATAGCAATAAAAGAAAACCAGCGAACCTCAACATTTCATCAGCTGATAGGCTGCAATATATGATTCTAACTTAAAATTCAGTTATAATGTCTATATAACTGTATCATACAGAATATCTGAAAGTTCAGAATTACTGGGTGTTTTGAAATTGTCCATCATCCAGTATTTAAAAAACTAGGAAACGTAACGTTTCGGAAATTGTATCTGTTTCCCTCTTCAGGTGTTTGCCGGGGAGGGTGCTACTCTGTTGGGTCCCTTAGAAAGCGCTAACCTCAATCACATGGGCCAAAAACCCAGTAATTCTGAGTGATACACACAATCATTACAAATTTTTAGAAATTATTTAGTATCAATCAGAATGAACATCTGCAATCTCTATTATAGAGCGATTTATTCACAATTTCACTAATCAAACGTGTGTTCATAGAGCATTATCCGCCTGATAATTCTCTGATGTTATGACATGGAGGACACAGTTATCATTAGTACCTACCCGAAATTTTTGGAACTAATGTGAAAAGTTAAAAAATTTATGGGCAGAATTATAAAAAATACATAAAAAATAAAGCTTGTTACGTGAACGTGACACATCACATCGATGTCGCTTAGACTCAGCACAAGAGACAACACGGAGGTTTATCGATAAAAAGTAACGTTCTGGAATAAAGGCACTGTAAAATACTGGTAAATGTCTTAGAGCACTTACATTACACATGAGAATATTTCCTCACATAAAGTATATACATATATTTAAAATTTGACAATGAAAGCGATATGCCATTACACCGTCGCACGGCACGCCTACTCTTAAGAGGAAATAATATTACAAATGCACATCCTCATATATCTTGGCCGTGTGTATACACATAAATGGATTTTCTACTAGTATAAATGAATTAAAACCTTTCGTACAATAAACTAACAACCTGAAAACTGATTTCAAGGATTTACCGATGGCCTACATATTGTGAAACGTCAAAATCACTTCACCTATGCATTCAAATTAACTTACTAACTTCGAAACGAAATGCAACGGTTTTCCTTTCACTAATAATCATACATATTTTTTAGACTGTATATACGTATTACTCTAAACTACAGGAAAATCTCATTCTTAGACTTCTCACAGCTGATACAATGTAGAAAGTTATCGCAATGGCGGACAAACATGACGTCAGCTGATTATGGCGACTTTTTGGCCCTCTGTAGGGAGATCGGGAGAACATATTTCATGTTTTGGACCGCATCCAGAAGCAAGGAGGCGTGTCCTTAAAACTTGACGTGACAGTGACGACAGTGAACCTATCTTCTATCACCGTGGTATATTGCGATACGTGTATATATATATATATATACAGTCACGCATTCAGTGACCGTTGACGGGGTTCGGATTGGTAACTGGATTTGTTGGACTCTTACAGGTCGTAACTACAATTAATTACAAGGCTATCGTTAATTCACGCTCTATACGATTCACTATGACATGCACCAAGTCTTCCGTCCTTAATATGCGCAATTTGTTAGGGCGAGGGCACACCAAGGAAACTGGCAACCGCAATTTCCGAGAACTTTTATCACCCGAAGTCGAACACATGTTACCGAATGGAGCAGCGCAAATTGAGGAAATTGCGGCTGCGTTACGGTTGCCAGTTTCCTTGGTGTGCCCCCACCCGTAACGGATCGCACAACAAAGTAAAATCACACTGGACCCAAGACGGTATTATTTTTTTTACTGCTAGTGGGGTGGGACTAAGTCCCTTGTACTGCGGCCACTTCTGGCCTATTGTACCAGCCCCAGGCGATAGGCGAGGGTGATTGTGGAGCAATTGGTAGAATGAAGATTGGCAGGGGAAACCGAAGTACCCGGAGAAAACCTGCCCCAGAGCCACTTTGTCCACCACAAATCCCACTTGACCAGACCCGGGATCGAACCCGGGACGCCGCGATGGGAACCCAGCGATTAACCGCTTGAGCTATGGCGCGGCCGACCCAAGACGGTAACTCTTATGTATGACTTACTGACTGATTGGCTGCTAATTTGCTGCTGAACCTCGCCAGCAGTTATTTTTGGGGAGGATGAGGTGGACAGGGCATGTAACACGAATGGGGGCGAAGAGAAATGCATGCAGGATACTGGTGCGAAAGCCAGAAGGAAAGAGAGCATTAGGAAGACCAAGACGTAGGTGGGGGATAATATTAAAATGGAGCCTTGAGAGATAGGATGGGGTGGTATGGGCTGGATTTATCTGGCTCAGGATAGGGACCAGTGTAGGGATCTTGTGAACACGGTAATGAACCTTCGTGATCCATAAAATGTTTGGAATTTCTTGAATAGTTGCACAACTGGCGGCTTCTGATGAAGCGCTCGGCTCCGTGAGGGTAGCTAGTTATAATATTAAATTGCAGGAGCCTGTTGCGTTGTGTAGATCTGATGGCCGATTACTCTGATACTTGTAGTGACAATGAAGAGAAGGAAGAGAAGACGAGAGAATGTTAACCGATGTTTCACATAGGCTCTAAAGAAAAAAGTGGAACTCAAAGTTAGTTAGTTATTCGTTGTACCATTTATGAGAGGATTTGTCCTGAAGATCCGTGTTTATGAAATACGGCCGTTCCTTACATAAAAATGATGTATCAACCACCTAGCAATGCTCATGTTTCAATCCACCAGGCAAAACAGAGTAAGCTTTATACCGACGGAGTTGGTGGCAGCGGCTATATACAGCAGATCTATGTGTATTAGTGCCCATAGGTGGCATGGAGTTAACGTTATTTACTCTGTGGAGTGAGTTGCTCATTTATATGTTTTATGTGCAATACTTATATTCTGTGTACTTGTGGAAGCGGTGTTGCTATTGTGTAACTGTTTAATATTCTGTATGACAAATACAAGTTATACGTCTTTCTTTAATTTTATATAAGCACAGGAGGTCAGAAAAACATATGGCTCAAAATAAGTTACGAAGTTAATGTATATTAACGTTGGAAGGTCGTGGCATTGAAGTATTAATTCCGCGTTCATAACCTCTATACTGGTGTAATAGTGTTTCTTTTTGTACGTGGTATAGTGATGTACACAAAACTACAGATTCTTACGGTGTATTAGAGGAGATTGAATTATGAGTGCAAAGAAGGTTTCATATTTTTACAACCCTGACGTTGGGAACTTCCATTACGGTCCTGGGCATCCCATGAAACCTCATAGACTGGCTGTTATCCACAGTCTTGTTCAAAATTACGGCTTGCACAAGAAAATGCAGATATACAGACCCTACCGTGCTAGTGCTCACGACATGTGTCGATTTCATTCTGATGAATACATCGAATTTCTTCAACGTGTGACTCCTCAAAATTTGCAGGGCTTCACGAAGTACTTGAGTCATTTCAACGTCGGTGATGACTGCCCGGTATTTGAAGGTTTATTTGACTTCTGTTCAATGTACACAGGAGCATCTTTGGAAGGTGCCATGAAACTGAACAATAACTGTTGTGATATTGCTATCAATTGGTCAGGTGGTCTGCATCATGCCAAGAAGTTCGAGGCGTCGGGATTCTGTTATGTGAACGACATTGTTATTGCAATTCTAGAGTTACTAAAGTATCATGCCCGAGTGTTGTATATTGACATTGATGTTCATCATGGTGATGGTGTTCAGGAAGCATTCTATCTCACGGATCGAGTCATGACAGTGTCTTTCCACAAATATGGTAACTACTTTTTTCCAGGGACAGGTGACATGTATGAAGTGGGTGCAGAGAGTGGACGCTATTATTCTGTCAATGTTCCGCTAAAGGAGGGCATAGATGATGCGAGCTATGTGCAAGTTTTCAAACCTGTAATCTCAAATGTGATGGAATTCTATCAGCCAACAGCCATTGTACTGCAATGTGGGGCCGATTCACTTGCCCATGACAGATTGGGTTGCTTTAGCCTTAGCACAAAGGGGCATGGAGACTGTGTGAAATTTGTGCGTGACTTGAATGTTCCCCTTCTGGCTGTTGGTGGTGGTGGGTACACTTTGCGAAATGTGGCACGATGCTGGACGTACGAGACCTCACTTTTGGTAGATGAGCCTATAAGCAATGAACTTCCATATACCAAATATCTCGAGTACTTTGCACCTGATTTCACACTGCACCAAGATGTTCTTCCACGGCCAGATAATGCAAACACCAAGCAGTACCTTGAAACCATTACAAAACATGTGTATGATAATCTCAAAATGTGTCAGCACTCACCAAGTGTTCAGATGCACGATGTGCCAGGAGATGCATTTCCCTTGCAGGAAGGTAGTGGGCATGATGAGATGGATCCTGATGTTCGCGTGAGTCAGGCAGACGAGGATCGGCGTATTGAGCCCGCCAATGAATTCTATGATGGAGATAAGGATCAGGATAAGGCTGGAGATGAGGCTGCCTGAAGTGTCATAAGAGGTGGAGGTGCTGTGCTCTGCAAGTAACAATACGTTGACAGCTATGGTTTTAACTGACCACAACAAATTAAGATTCTTTTTACTGATATATTAATTTAGTATTCATGAATTGTATACTGTGTGCTTAACTATAAAAGTTTTTCAATTAAAGTAGAGAATAAGGCATTTCCTCATGTCATAAAAAATACACCAGGGAATCAACTCTGTCTTTGATCCTTCTACCCACAAATCCCCATTTGGGGAACATGTGGTATTTTTTGACTGTTCAAGTAAAATGGTAGTCTTATTTGTCATTTTATTTTAATGATAGTTTTCAATGTAAACTTAACCCATTCCCATCTGTTAAGTGTTGGTATGTGCTGATCACTGCAAGCCTGTGAGGTCTGGAATTCTCATGGCAGTGAGATAAAAGTACTGTCTTGTGAGAAGCCATGCCATGTGGTCTGATAGAAGTTTGTACTTGCTTGGCTTACTCTCTGACCTTGAAATGTCAGTAAATTTCTACCAGATTATGTCACAGCTCAGAAGACAGCACTCTTCAGTGCAAACATACCCTTCTGCAAAATGCAAAGGATTTGTTGAAATGGTTTTACTAACATCTGTGAGTTATATTGAGATACTGTTTTGTTTAGTGACTTGTGTAAGCTGCTGGTGCATTCAGAGACCAGTGAAAGGGTTTTCTAGTGATCACAAATGAATATCAGCAATAATTGTGGTTGTTTTTCATAGGACAGGCCACTTGAAATGGGGAAGGATGCTGATGGGTTAATTAACATCTCTTCACTGAGTGTATGTCTCATCATAATTACCATGGTATTCTTAGTGGCAGCTTGGCTCCACCGTGGGTACTAAAAAGTACATCAAGCCTGCACTGCTAGTAAGAATCAGAACAAGCACAAACAATTTCTGAGGCAGAAATAGCCAGTGTAGTACAAATACCAAAGAAACTCTTGAAGTATATAAGCTATACTTTGGAGTCCTGTGAACTCTACTTTTGTATCCGTAAATGTGTAATCTCACTGACTTCACTGCTGTATAGGACATTTCTTGTAACCGCTCAAACACATTTACTGCAAGAAGTCTTTATGTACCATATGGTTGCTATATTGAGTACTAATCAATCTAGAAAATTCCATGGGCTAGAGCCCTACTTCAGAAGGTACTAAGTTGGTCAAGTGGTAAAAAAAAATCCCCAACCTTTATGGAACCAGATGAATCCAGTCCACACCCTCCAATCCTATTGCTTTAAGATCTGTTCTAATGTTAGGAGTCAGGATAGCTCAGTTGGTGTAGCTACAGGCTGGCTGGCCTGGGTTCAGTTTTGGCAGTGCACGATTTTTCTCTTCTCCACAGCATGCAGGCCAACTGAGGCTGGGGGTCTACCCAGCCTGCTATCCAATGGGTACTAAGGACTCTTTCCCAGGGGTAAAGCAGCAAGGGCATGAAGCTGACCACTCACCTCCATCTAATGCCAATGTCAGGTGGAGGTAAATCTCCACTCCACATATATCTTCATGTCATAGTGTTTTAACTAATTAAGCACAGGAACAACTTTACCTATTCTAATATTATCCCTGCATCTATACCTAGGTCTTCCAGCTGGTTCTGTTCCTTTGGTTTGTTCTTCCAATACTCTGTACATATTTCTCTCTTCTCCCATGCTATATGCCCACCCGTCTCCTTGACTGGATCAGAGTAATAGCATTCGGTGAACAGTACAAATGATGAAGCTGCTCACTCTGTAAATTTCTCCATCCTGTCAAATAATCTCCTCAGCACCCAGTTTTCAAACACCCCCAGCCTGTGTTCTTCCCTTAATACACAAGCTTAGGCTTCATGCATTTGAAACAGGCAAGATTATAGCTCTGTATATTTTAATCTTTATGTTCCTAAGACAGCAGATGAAAGACAAAAGACACTGAATTGCAAGCATTCTCTGAATTTAATCTGCTCTTGAATGCAATTTTGATTTGTTACTGTTATTTCCAAATATTTTAATTTTGCCACATTTTCATTGGATCATAATCATTCATCTGATGTAATACTTAAATCTCAAGTATGGTATACTCGTATGTATTAATGACATTAATTTTCATTGTCTCTTCAGTAAAATGTACTTAAATTATTTCAGTCAGTTACTATTAATTATTCGATCCCGGGTCTGGTCAAATGGGATTTGTGGTGGACAAAGTGGCGCTGGGACAGGTTTTCTTCGAGTACTTCAGTTCCCCTGCCAATCTTCATTCAACCAACTGCTCCACAATCACCCTCACCTATCATCTGGGGCTGGTACAATAGGCCAGAAGTGGCTGCAGTACAAGGGACCTAGTCCCACCTCACAATAAAAAAAAAAACAACTAATTATTAGTAATTATGTTACACTTCATACACTCTTGAAATACATTTGTTCATTTCTGACAAAGCCAATCAGAGAGGGATATACAATTTTTTTTTATTATTTTTTAACCTTTAGAGCCTAATCATTAATAGGCAAATCTTTAGGGAGCAAAAATTTTCTTTATGGAGTGACTTAAAATACTGACTTGTCTAAGTTTCATCTCTTTGAGCATGTGCTACATTTTAAGAGCAAAAGGAAACACTAAATAAAATCTGTCGATAATGCTAAGTAGGAACACAGCAGGATGGTGTGAATACTATGTCAACTTGGAGGGTTTCTTTTAAAGTACACAAGATAATATGGCTTTGACTTTATTTATTATAGCACAGTAATAAATAGTTTTGTATAGGAACATCTGAAAATGTGGTCTGTTCTACATGAAAACAGTTATGCAGACACAAACATATGAACATGACCTGACAATGTCTTACTTCTGGGCTGCTCTTTCAGGCATGTGGGGGTACATACAAGAACCCCAATTCCATTTTACCATAACTACCCTATGTTAAGTCCTTCACATATGAGTCAAATGCATGAAGGTGTAAAACACTGAAAACAGAACAATGCACTACAATTCTCACAGGTAACAGATAATTATCACAGAGCTGCAGTCTATCAGCAACTAAAATAAACTTGTTTGGTTGTTTACATCTTTTTTTAAAATAGTGACTAGGCTATCAGTTGCACAACCTGGGCATCAGGGTTCAATTCCTGGCAGGGCAGAGATTCTCTCTTCTCTTCAGCATCCAGACTTGTTCTGGTGTCCACAAAACCTCCTGTCCAATGGGTACTGGGGACTTTTTCCCCTGGGGATAATGCTGATCACTCATCTCTGTTCAGTGCCAAGTTCAAGAATGCAACGAGTTGCATCTCCACCACTACATCTTCATGGTGTGATGCTTAATTAAGCTCATGAAAACTTGACCTGTTACCTTTAATGGAATAGCTATTTATTCACCTTCTCTTGTTCTTTCTTTTTCACTCCACATTCCATCTTCATTTCTTATGCCATTCTTCCTCTTCAGCTTCTCTTGTTCCTCCATTTTTCTTCACAGTCTCCTTTCATTGCCCATCATTTCCTCTTGTTCTACATCTCCTTTCTCTTCTATTCCTCCTCCCCCACTTTTTCATCATATTTTTCTTAATTTTAAATATTCCAGTCAGCATAACTCTAGCTTACAAGGATCTCGAAGGGCTGAACCCTAGACTTCTGTATAGCATACTGTAGATTCTTAAGGGGGGCTTCACATAAATGTGGGCAGGGGATTCTAGCAAATGAGGAAGTTACATCGGTTACTGCACTGTCACATTTACAGTTCATTAAAAAAAAAAAAACAAATGTTCACAAAATTGTTATCTGCACCTAAAAACCAACTCACCAACTGCATTCACATTCACTTCAGACCTCTGTATCTAAAATCTCTACAAATTTAATGTTTTACACTGATGAGAAGGAGAGAACATCTGACCCCAAGCACTCTACTAAACTTAATAGCTGGTTAGATCCAGTTTGACATGTTCAGTCAGAATGACTTAAGCTCACTGCTTTACACAGCTTTAGTGCTGTTTATATCAAGTGAAGTTATACAGGCTGGCCCATTTGAATATGAAGAAATGTAACATGCTATGAAAAAGACAACAATAACTGAAACATGCCTCATGTATTGAACATGTTCATAAGACAAAGAAATCTTCTACACAGTCCTCACCATGAGATGAACAAAATGTGTGCCTGCTGCAGTATGGGAACTCACAACATGTCAGCATGTTGTGAGTTCCCATACTGCATCCAGAGTTCAATTCCTGCATGAATGGAACCATGACGAACATTATGAACTCTCTTGTGTCCATCCGGAGGGGTCATATTAAGGGCTAACTGTCCCATCACTGTAGGGTGCATGTGCTAAATATTATGGAATAAAAATTAAGAGGTCATAATTCACATTTTACTTTTATCTATAACGGATTATCCTGTATTTTACAAATGAAGTGAGACCGATGTTTCTAATTCATACAATACATGTGGTATAAATGCCTGGTCTTATCATAGGCATACAATGAAAGATTCAGTTGCATGCTAAAGAGAACAGAATTCATAAGTAAACCTACAAGCAAATACTGATTTCACAAAGGCCATCAACTGCTCCACAATCACCCTCACCTATCATCTGGGGCTGGTACAATAGGCCTGAAGTGGCCGCAGTATAAGGGACTTAGTCCCACCCCACTAGCAATAAAAAAAAAAGGCCACTTTCTTTAGGAGTTCACACACCAGAGCAAATGGGAAAACTTGTGTTACTGTTACAGACTAAGATTTTTAGCTTTTCTTCACAGGTTTTCCTTTTCATAAATCCGTTATTAGAAATTAAAATATCCATCTTCTTAAATTAACAAAAACTTGCAGGTTCCTAACAACCCTACAGTATGCGGTTAAATCATTTTCAGCTTCTGAAACTCTTATCTTGCTTAATGCGACTGTTCAAAATGATGTCTGATATTCATGTTATGCCAGCACACCCACCGTGTTTATTTCACAGGTCATTAATTATTTCATAACTAATTTGATATTCACTATGCTACTAGCTGGAAGGTTGCAGGTTCAATTCCCAATGAGGTTAATGGATATTTAGATTGACCTAAACCTTCCAGCCACATTATGACCCTGGGGTCGACTCAGCCTCTAACAGAAATGAGTACCAGGATTCTTCCTGGGTGGTAAAGGGCAGCTGGTGCATAAGGCTGATAACTTAACCGCCATCTGTGAGCTGACTGTCTACAAAATATGGCAGCCTTGACATCTTACAACCCTACGGCCTCCACAGCCTGTACAGGGTTAGCTTTACCTTTTATTAATTTGATATTACTGATGATGTAATTTCATTTTTTGTGCAGAAA